TAAGCTTGTTTTACAATCTGTGAACTTGGTTAAAAATTGTTGAAACTCGAAATTTGTTCACCGTTGGGATTGGCACTAGCATGTGTAGGACCTGTTGAGATCCTTGATGCTATCACTTATATGCTAGATTGCTATGTCTCATGCATTGAGTTACTCACTTGCTTGGACAACTTGAAGATTTTTATGCTAAAATTTGAAAAACAAGCTAAGTGATGAGAAAAGATCGAGATCGGTCTGTACTGTCCTATGTTAAGGTATCGAGATGGCTTCCAATTGGACGTTTGGATGAACTTGAGCCTTGTAGTTGATGCCAAAACCATTGTCTTAAGCTTCTGATTGTCTATGACATAGGCTTGGTATGGTTGCTAAGTTAGGCCTGACAGTACAGATAACCTCTCGCACACACATGTTTTGACTAAGTCTTGTGTTAAGCTGCAAACTCTGATAAAATTTAAAATTTGATAAAAATACAAGTCTTAGGTTCGTCTTTGACATGATGTGTGACCGCTGCTTGGGGTAGTCCACCTTGTATACACTTGTTAGCACTAGGTTGATTTCCTGCTTATACCTGCTATGTTCTACTTTCAGTGGTGAACCCCTTCTTGAGTTGCTTAAACTTGATCAAATTTGCTTAAGTGTTATATTTTGTCTCACTTGATCAGTTTGAGCATTTGCTAGCACTTGTATTTGTTGCTATACACACATAACAACACCAGTTAGAGCATCTTTTCAATTTGATTGCTATACTCCTGAAGCTTCTGCATTTCTGCATCCCTTTGCATTCATAGCATATTTTGAGGTGGAGTGACAGTTTTTCAGTGCTTGATGTGTGCATGTGTCAACAAGGGGGAGAGATAGATCACACATTCAAGGGGAGAGTTTATACACTAATCTTGTTGAGTGCATGCATTCATCTATGAGGTTGCATCATTTCAGGGGGAGTTGCACCAAGAGTTGCTTTTGATAGATGGGTTGAGTCTTTGCCTCTTCTGGAGGGTCTAGCAGTTTTCTGGCGTTTTGAGCTTTGCTGGTGGTGTTGAGCCCGTTGCCTCTTCTTGAGGGCTAGCTGTGATTTACTTGGTTCCATCGAGCCATTGCCCATGTCTTTGGGGACCAAGTTTTGCTCATTTCAAATGATCCGGTTGCGCTTTTCTTTGGTTTTTAGTCATTTGGGTGAGCTCTTTGTTTTCTCTTCTTCTTCTTTTGTGCTTTCTCTCTGTTGTCATTTGTTGGTGTTGACAATGCACTCATCAAGGGGGAGATTGCGAACACAAGGTTGATATATGCCCTTGTGGTTCAGATTTATGATGAGTGATTGTCAACGTGACTCATGTCTTGGGTTGAGTTTGTGAACAAACCATGGTGTGAATTGGGTTGTGCAACATGTCTCTTGGCTTGTGGTACGCAGGTGTTCTGCTCAAAGGCGGTGGTTGACGGCAAGGTGAAGGTCAAGTAGGGACGTGCCGTGCCGATGGACCGGGAGCGGTGAAGGACGGACGCGAGGCTTGGACTGAGGGACCAGGAGGCCGGGTGGCCAGTAGTGGTGGCTAACATGTGGGACATCGACAAGCGCAAGTGTACATGGGAGTGACCGTGTTGACCGAGTCAAGACGATGAACGTGCGAGTCGAGCGGGGCTCAGGGGGACTTGGCGGCCGGCCGGTCGAGGACTGTGGTGACACGTGTTGAGTGGCGAGGGACGCGTATGGAGTATGCTACTCGCGAGCGGTTTAGTGGTTTGGGCCTCAAAACCATCTGTGGCCGGTTTCACGGGTTTGGGCCTCAAAACCCGAGCGGAGGTTCCGAGGAGGAACGGACAGCATGTGGCGACATCGAGGAGTTCGCGTCGAGGCGAAGCTATCTCATGAAGGGCGCGGTGGCCGTCGGATGAAGGTTACCTCGGGTTGGACCATAGTGCCCTCCGGTTAAGTGGTTTGACTCAAAAATATCTAAAGGAAAACTGGGATTGTGTAATAGCCCTGTTCAATAGGATGAGGGAGCTCCCATCTCCCTTACCTCTTTCATTTTGCTTCATCCTTCTCTAGGTTTCCCCGCCCCCCTCCCCCTTAGGTTTTCTTGTGAGAGGTCCACAAATTGAAGAATTTATGTAAGAACCAAAGATTGCAGTGGGAAAGGAGGCCCAAACCTCCTCGTGTCCTCCGAGATTCAATTTGTGAGCTGTTCTTATGAATCGCGTTTGTGTTCTTCGCGTTCTTCCTTCTCCCTTCTCTTGTGTGGTTCGATTCGTTGTTTTGAGACCGTTTTGATTCGTTCCTTTTGCACTGAGATGGACTAGGACGTGAGTTGAGCCTTTCCACCGAGGGATTTCATCTAATTCCTCATGAGTTCATAGATCAGGGCCAATCAAGCTCAAGGGTTGGAAAACCGGTATTTTTTGTGTTCATCCAATTTCCCGTTGATTGGCTTCAAATTGGGCAATGATCTCCTAGAGGTAGCTCACCTATTGGCCTGCGACCATGTGGTTAAAATTTGGTGCCAATTGGTGTTGATTTGGCCGCAAATCGGGATTTTCCTTGCTCCGGGTGTTTTTCGGGCGACTCTGTTCGTGCTGATTTCGTGACTCGCGGACAGTGCGCCCCTGACCCATGGACAGTCCGCTGTTACTGTTCATGTCTGAAAGCTCTAGTTTGGTTCTGGTGAATTGATGAAACCCTAAGTGCTAACCTAGTTTATCAAGTGATCATGAGATAGGTAGCACACTCCAAGTGGTAAAGCAAATGAAGATCATAGCATGATGATGATGATGGCATGGTGATGATCAAGTGCTTCGACTTGGAAAGAAGAAAGAGAAAAACAAAAAGCTCAAGGCAAAGGTATAATTTGTAGGAGCTATTTTGTTTTGGTGATTAAGACACTTAGATAGTGTGATCACATTTAGGTTTGATAGCCATACTATTAAGAGGGGTGAAACTCGTATCGAAATGCTGTTATCAAAGTGCCACTAGATGCTCTAACTCATTGCATATGCATTTAGGATATAGTGGAGTGCTAACACCCTTGAAAATATTTGTGAAAATATGCTAACACATGTGCACAAGGTGATACACTTGGTGGTTGGCACATTTGAGCAAGGGTGAAGAAGTTAGAGGTGAAGAGGAGTTAGTCTTGCTGGTCGCTGAGTGACTGGACGCTGGTCTCAGAGGAACCGGCGCGTCTGGTCAAGTGTGACAGCATAGACGCCAGCGTCGGTCATCGACCGGACGCTGGGTCTTGGACTGACCAAACGTTGAGGTCCAGCGTTCGGTCGTGTTGACCAATAACGCAGAATGAAGTCAACAAGTGACAGGACGCTGGCTGTGTCCGGTCGATCATGGCGTCCGGTCATGAAATATCGTTTCTAGAACCTTACTAGAAATGACCGGATACTGGAGGCTCAGAGTCCGGTCAATTTGTGCGCAACGAGGATCGTCGAGCGGAGGTTGGTGATTGTCTCTGGCTCCGATCGTGGTGATTATGAGGAGTTCTTGACCTTTCCCCAGCGGAGAGCCAAAAGGTACTCTAGTGGATTGCTCGTGGCTTGTGTGATCCTCATCTTGTGTTGGTTGTGCGGCACCCTATTGAGGGTTTGGCGTGTGATGCCAATTAGCGCGTGAACCTCCAAGTGAATGAATCGCCACAACGAGGACTAGCTTGCCGGCAAGCAAGTGAACCTCGGTAAAAATCATTGTGTCATCATTTGATTCCAAGGTGATTGGTCTTCATCGTAATTCATTCTTGTGATTGATTGGCTCCTTCCTCGACACGGCGGTATAATCATCTTGCTCACTCTCTTTACATTACCGCAAACTAGTTGTCAAGCTCTTTAGTGTAGCTAGTCGTGAGAGCTTGTTAGTTTGGTTAGTGTGGCTCTTTAGTTAGCCTTTGAGAGCACACTAACTTAGTGTAGTGACATAGCTATTGTATGGATAGAAACTATATAAACTAGAATTGTGGTAGGTGGCTTGCAATTTTAGTAGGCTAGCGCAACATTTGCTTCGCCTCATAATTGTCTAACCGATTTGTTAAGTGTTGTTGTAGAAATTTTTATTAGACTATTCACCCTCTCTAGCCATTAGGACCTTTCAACGTCTCGAGCAGAAGGTCTTCTTTTGGTCTTGTTTTGTTGCTCTAAACGTCGGACAGTCCGAGCCTACCCGCGGATAGTCCGGGGCTGCTGCTCAAGCGTGTCCAGAACTGTTTCAGCAAGTTCGTTTTGTGGTGTTTGACTTGCGGACAGTCCGAGATTCAACCGTGGACAGTCCGCCGTTCTTCTTTCTGCACAGGTCAGAACTATTTCTCATTGTTCAGTTTTGGAGAGTTGAACGCCGGACAGTCTGGCCCTCATCCCCGGACAGTCCGGGACCTGACCCGCGGATAGTCCAGACTCCCTACGGCAGACAGTCCAAGCCTGTGCAGATTGTGTTGTTTTCTCTTATTCTTTCGAGCACTTGTTTCAGTCTGTTCTCGGTTGATCCGCTCTACTTCTTGGTCATCGCCAAAGGTACCCAACCACCGGTTGACTTGTGATCATACCGTTCTCTAGTGCCTTTGCTCTTGGGTCGTGATTTTGGGACAACGGCTTAAAGTTTCGAAAGAAATTTGAGGCTCCCATTCACCTCCCTCTGGTCGCCGTTTTTGGTCCTTCAAAGAGGTGGGGTGCCGGGGCTCGAGGTACGAGGTTCACCGCTGTCACAAACCCCACCTACAATTCTAATCCGATCTAGAGGGAGGCGCTGGAAGCGATGGGAAGCTCCACTGCTTTCGTCGCCGCTGGGCCGCCGCCGTCACTGGACTGCGTCGCCCCTCTCCATCGACCACCGACTCGACAACGTCCTCTTCACTGCCATGGCTTTCTCCTCCACCAAGCCCGATGGTCAGCGACTTCTATCCCCTTTCTCCCTCTCTCTTTCCCTCTACGTTTCATACCGTAGATCATACTTGATGCTTATGCCAAGATTTCTAAGAACATACCCTCTTAATCTACACCTAGTCTACACCTAGGTGATCCTAAATTCCATCACTGACATCTCAGGAGTAATTCCAGATAGCATTGGGAAGCTGGAGAACCTGACGGAGCTACACCTGGACAACAATAACCTGTCGGGCCTTGTTCCATCATCAGGGGGGAATCTCACCAGGCTCCTTAAGCTATCGGCGAGCAGCAACAACCTGGGAGGATCGATCCCAAGGAGTCTTGGAAAGCTTAGCGACCTCATCAGTCTTGATTTTTCAAGCAATTACCTGAACGGTTCGATTCCTGAAGAAATATTCCAGCTGCAGTCTCTTTCGTTGCTCCTGGACTTGTCACACAACTCCCTCTCCGGACCACTTCCTTTCGACGTTGGAAGATTGGCTAACCTCAACACGTTGAGCTTGTCAGGAAACCAGTTGTCTGGCCAGATACCGACAACCATCAGGAATTGCATAGTTCTGGAGGTACTCTTACTGGACTGTAACTCGTTCCAGGGAAGCATACCTCAGGCTCTAGGTGACATCAAGGGTCTCCGCGTGTTGAACCTGACCATGAACAGTTTCTCTGGTGTGATCCCTGATGCCCTTGGTGACATTCACAGCCTGCAGCAGCTGTATCTAGCACACAACAACTTGTCCGGGCTGATCCCAACTGATCTGCAGAATATGACATCACTGTTTAATCTGGATTTGTCCTTCAATGATCTGCAAGGTGAAGTGCCGAAAGGAGGTTTCTTTAGAAACTTGTCTTACTTATCGATTGCAGGAAACAAAAACCTTTGTGGTGGAATACCTCAGCTTCGCTTAGATCCATGCCCCACGTCCGTTGTGAGAAAGAACAACAAGAGTAAGAGGTGGTTGAAGTATGTTAAAATAGCTCTGGCGGCAACAACGGGTGCGCTCCTGTTCTTAGCATTATTAACTGCAATTATTCAGTTGATCTACAAAAACTCTAAGCAAAGACAGAAGAGAAGCCATCCCCTAGCCCCAGTAACCGGAGAACAATACGAAAGGGTTTCTTACCAGGAACTGTCAGACGGAACAAAGGGATTTTCAGATGCCAATCTGCTTGGAAAAGGCAGCTATGGCACAGTCTACAAATGCGCTTTCATTGGTGAGGGAACTATTTGGTACTCGAGTTTATGCCCAACGGTAACCTAAGTTCTTGGCTTCATCCAAAATCTAATGAGCCCAAGAATACGCTAAGCCTAACCCAAAGGTTAGACATTGCTGTCGACATCATGGATGCCCTGGACTATCTTCATAACCATTGTCGGCCACCGATCGTCCACTGCGATCTCAAGCCAAGCAACATCCTTCTCGCCATAGGCATGAGTGCTCGTGTTGGAGATTTCGGCATATCCAGAATCTTGTCTGGAAGTGCGTGCAAAGCCTATCAAAATTCAAATAGCGTAGCTGGAATAAGAGGCTCCGTTGGCTACGTCGCTCCAGGTAACTGATCAACTGAAACTGCAGTGTTTTGTTTTGCTGCTTATTTCTTACAGTATTATCTTTTCATCTTGGACAACTTTGACATGATGATCGATCTGACTGGCTTACAAAATATTTGCAGAGTACGGGGAAGGCTGTGGCGTCTCCATCCTCGGTGACGTTTACAGCCTAGGCATACTGCTGCTTGAGATGTTCACAGGACGCAGCCCCACGGATGACGTGTTCACAGGACAAACCAGCAGACTGGGCCGAAGCAGGGCCGGATTGCGCAAAGGAATTGTAATAGAACGGGCTTAGAATACAAATTAAACTGTACGGTTGTTTGATTAGAGCATTTTGGTTGGGCCGGAAAGGGGGACACGGCTGACGCTGGGCCACAAGCCCACAGCTCAGGTCTGTCCCCACCACACGCTGGGCGCAGCGAATATTCCGGCGATGAACCGAGCCCAACCGAAGTGGCCTCAGCGCGGGGCGGCGGCGCAGGTCGATGGGATTGCCTTGCCACGGACTGTGCGCACGTCGAACCGTCGATGGTCGCTTACATACTCACGGGCACCCGAGCAGGAGCGACGGCACCGAAGCGCGCCACAGGCCCCGGTCCCGGGTCCGTTGCGTTGGGCGACTTGCCGGTGGCACAGCGAGTCAAATACTCATCAAATCCGGCGCGGCGCCGGGGTTCGTTCCAGTACATCCTGCGTTCTTCTCAGCCGCGCGCGACAGTGAGCTAGTAGTAACGGCCCCATCCCCGGCCGAATTAACGGCGTGCTGGACCCATGAACATCTGTAGAAGCCTAATTATATAGCTTTTTCAGATACTAATAAAAAAACTAATTATATAGCTCGTTTGGAAACTGCGAGGCCAATTTATTAAGCCTAATTAATTTATCATTAGCGTATGTTAGTACTGTAGCACTTATGGCTAATCATGAACTAATTAGTCTTAAAACATTCGTCTCGTGATTTCCAACCAAACTGTACAATTATTTTTATCGTCTATATTTAATACTCCATACATGTGCCGTAAAATTCGATGTGATAGTTTGGGACGAAAATTTTTAGGAACTAGGCCTGAAGCCTGTATCCTTGTACTGTTACTCCCCTTAGGAGTACTCCTACTGTTACAGACGGGAGATAGCGGCCTGCTGGCGCGTCTGCAGCCTGCACTGCACTGCACGGGGCCCTTCCTGGCTGCAGTGTGGACGACTTATGGAGATCTGGGACTAATAGGCTGCTCGAGCCAGGCAGCCAGCCAGCTTCGCTTCGCTGCTGAGCTGAGGAGGTGGTCCGTGGTCATGAGCTCGCAGCGCTAGCTAGCTAGCTACTTGATGGCAATCACAGGCGCCAATCCGCGGACGTCGCTTTTGACGCTCTCATTAATCCCATGCATGCAAGCGAGGCGATGCGATGGGATGGGATGCCCACACACACATGAGACGCCATTCAATAGGAACCCCCCGGCGTCTTCCCTCCGAGCCAGGAAACCCTCCTCCACCGTTGCATTGCAATTGCAATTGCATACATCCAATCCAATCCTTCCTTCCTTATATACGCGAGCGTGCCCACCTAATCGCCTGACACCTAGCCGCCTGCTCGTCACGTACCATCGCCTAGCTAGCTAGCAAGCTAGGACGCCCGCCGAGAGCTGCTGCAAGCTAGGTGCGGCGACAGCAGAGCGATCGAGCTCTCTCCATCGCCGCCCGCCGGCCTGTAGCGTAGCTTCTGCTTGTTGCGAGGTACCGGATACGTAGTATATATGGCGTCGGCGACGGGGGACGACGCGACACGCAAGGGCGGCACCGGCGGTGCACCTGCCTGCGGGGGCACGGCGCCGCCTCCTCCTACCACGCAGACGCAGACGCAGCAGCAGCCGCCGCCCCCGCCGCCCGAGCAGGGGCTGCGGTGCCCGCGCTGCGACTCCCCCAACACCAAGTTCTGCTACTACAACAACTACAGCTTGTCGCAGCCGCGCCACCTCTGCAAGACGTGCCGCAGGTATTGGACCAAGGGCGGCGCGCTCCGCAACGTGCCCGTCGGCGGGGGGTGCCGCAAGAACAAGCGCTCGCGCTCCGCGGCCGCCGTGGCCGCGGCGGCGGCGGCCTCGCGCCTCTCGCTCAACCTCCCGCCGGACGCCGCCGCCGCCGACCAGCAGGCGGCGAGGCTGGGCTTCCTTGGCGCGGCCGCCGCCGGCGGTCATCCAGTAGCGTCGTCGTCGCAGATTGGCGGCGGCGGCCCCGCGATCGACTACCACCACCAGCAGCCGGGCGCCGCGGCCGTCGGCATGATGGCCCTGCCGCGGCTCCACGCTCCCGGCGCCGTCGTCGGCCAGTACGTGCCGTTCGTGGAGTGGCCGTCGGGGGACGTTTCTTCCGGCGGCGGCGGCGGAGCCTGCCACGCGGTGAACGGTGGCGCGGCGGTGAGCATGAGCAGCAGCATCGCGTCGTCCATCGAGTCGCTGAGCTTCATCAACCAGGACCTGCACTGGAAGCTGCAGCAGCATCGGCTGGCCACCATGTTCCTGGGCACGCCGACGACGAGCACCGGCGCCGCGGCGGCCCATGTCGACGGCGGCGCGGAGGCAGGAGCAGCAGCAGCACCGCATGTAGTAGGCGGCGCCTTCTTGCAGATGGCGGCGGGACCACCACCACCCGGCATGGTGGAGGCCACCATGCCGCCGTCGGCGGCGACGTCGTGGTTCATGGACAGCTCCTGCTACGTGCTCCCTTCCCCGACCGCGCATGCTATTGCTAACACGGCCGCGGCCGTAGCCAGCAGCAACTGCAACGTCGTCAGCGGCGGCGGCGACGACGACGACAAAGCCACGTCGAACAACAACTGCGGGAATGCAATCCCGTCGTGGGGCGACATGTCGACGTTCGCGATGCTGCCTTGACGATGGCGCACCGCACCAACAGGAAGATCAAGCTCCAGTTTGGAAGGGCTGATTCCGAAGGAATTGAGCTAGCAAAGGGGATATATATTAGTTAACTAGCTGTCCATCTCTAACTACATATTGTATTTGTTAATCATTGTGTGGGTATATTATATTATATTTGTCGAAAACATTCTGATCGGCCTGCCATAGATCCATGCATGTTGTCATGGTAGCTGGTCTTTTTCTTTTCTTTTTCTCTTTACTTCATTCTTAGCTTGTTCTTTTTCACTTTGTCTATCCATGCATATTAATCACCTGTCATGCATATACTACCTCATGTTGATTACTTTGCATTATTGTGCTCCACGTAAGACTCCTCCTAAAAAATTTGCTGGATTAGCCGTGGTTGCTTTGCTTGGAAATAACACTGTATATATTCTTCTTGCTTGCATACGTTGCAGCAGCAGCAGCTAGCAGCATGAATAAGTTGTTTTCTGATCCGATCTATCCATGAATGAATGAAAGATGCATGGGTGCAACCGGCGAGGGTACGCAGCTGTAGCAAGCGCTGTTTCCTGTGGGTGTGTGAGCTGTAGGCGCGTCGTCCGGCCGGCCAGCTAGCCGCGCACTCCAGCTGAGTGAGCGCTCCAATGGCAGGCAGGCAGGCATGAAACGAAGCTAGCTAGCTAGCTAGCCGCGCTTGTGACCGATGATGGTGTGGTGTGTGTTAGGAGGGCAGGCGGGTTCAGGGTCACGGGAATCCCATCTATCCCACGTAGAGATCGCTGTTCGCGTCGTGAGCTACCAGCCCAGCCAGCCAGCCACGTACGTGTACCTGTACCCGTGTGTACCGGCAGCGCAAGCGCAAGTGAGGCTATCTAGGCTTAGCTTAGCCAAGCTCTCTGCTATGAATAGGATAGGCTGCCGCAATCAGCCAAATCTCGTCTCTTAATGCGTGGCAAAGTGCACTTCAATCATCCGTCAAACCTATAGGTCGACTCTCAATCCGTAATCCAGTAACAGCCGTACACGGTACACACTAGCAGCACAGCATCTCTCTCTAGCCGTCGTCGAACGTGGGGCTGATTTGCAAGACTAATTTGCTGTGAAGGAAAAACACTGAAAAACAGAACTGATTCTGGCTCGAACAGGGCATAAGTCGTTAGACCTGGGCTTAATAAATTTGTGCTATAGTAGTAGCTGCACATTCGGACCTGCCAATGCAAAGTGGTGCCCGGAAGACAGTAATGGCCTGACAGCCCTGCCCGAGGCTGGCCTCCCAGTTTATATATATCGCCAGCTCCGGCCCGGTGATAAATACTCCTACTCCATGAGCGAGCGAGCGAGCCAGCAAGTGATGAGAACAAGGAGAGAGGGATCCAATCCGCGCGTTCATATCAATGTTTTAAATAGCGGGCTAAGGTGTTAAACGGTATATCTCTAAAACAGTTAATAGCGGGGCTATATCGGCTATAGCGGGATATAGCGGCTAAATTGTACATGAACACAAATAGCGGCACCCCGCATGAAAATACTATAGTAGTAGCTATAGCGGGAGATTTAAAACTATGGTTCATATATGAATGGTCCTGAATGAAGGCTCCTTTCCTGTCTTTGGCAGTTGGATTCTTCCATTCCTGGTCCTGCTGGGATCTTCATCGTCATCCAGCATATGCGCATCGCCGGAGACTGATGATCGACAGGGCCGCCCGCCAGGCCGCCATTAACTTCGTCGACCGTTGATGCGTTCTGATCTGCTGCATGCGTGCAGGATATGCATCCACACCAGAACCTCAGGGTTAAGAGCGAGCTAGGAAAAAAGGTTGAAGGCAGTAAAATCAGCGAGGTTATTTCGCTCCTGCCCAATATGGGAAAGGATGGTGTGGAGCTTACACAGAGATTTGGTCCAAGTAGAATCCTATAACCACGACAATCTGACCGTCCTACCCAATATGGAAAAGGATGGCGTGGAGCTTACAAAGTGATTTGGTCCAAGTAGAATCCTATAAACCATGACAATCTGACCCAAAATGACAGTCATCATAAGCAAAGCATTTGACGCAGTCGTCGAGGATTGACATGGCTATAAATGCACCATTGCTAAAAGATCCTTAATAACTTGACCAGTGTATATAAATATGGTGTTGACAAAAGTGTATCAAGGTTTTGCTAGAACAGGAAAGCATGCAGTGAGCATACTGAAGTCAGGTGAACATGGGGTTAAAAAAAATTGACAGCGGTAGAAGTTGCAAACCTGATATATATTGGGACGTCTGAGCATATCATACTTCTTAAGGCAAAGAGACTGAATGAGGTTTGGGGATTTTCTGGCGCGTTCTGATGTTTTTCTGGAATGCGCTGCTGGGCTCTGGATCGTTCGTGGATAGTCAATCTATCATGAGCGGCTAGCCTAGGCAGGAGTATGGCGTGGGCCGGCGTGATGTGTGTGTGGGCCTCTAACCAGCTGGGCTTGAAAGTATGAAGCGGTGTTCACGTTGTAGGCGGGGCGGGCTCTTAACGAGACCCGCACATTCGCCCTGCAAAATTTCCCTTCGTGGCTGTAGTGACCTAGCTACAAATTTTTTGTGGCCCAACGTCTTTGAACCCGCCAAGCCTGTTGGGCAAGAGACACAGCTCGCAAGGACCCGCAAGACCCGCAACAACTGCATCTCCTGAACCCTACCGCTATCGCGCCGTCACGGTATGGTGGCGTCGGGCATCACCCTCCTCTTCTCGCCCTTTCGGCTCGTCCTGGCCCTTGGCGCAGATGGGAATGCCGATTCCGGCCGTGGCAAGCGGCGGAAACCTAGCCCTCGACTCGCGATCCTCCATGGTGGAGCAAGAGGAGGCAGGAGAGGACGGGGGCCATGAAGCCTCCAAGATCCTAGTGTCGGTGCAGAATGTGACCAACTAGTAAATATTTATAGTTTTGCTGTACGTTGTGATCGGAGGTGGCATAGCACTCAATGACACAGGGTTTATACTGGTTCAGGCAACGTGCCCTACGTCCAATTTGAGTCGGTCGGTGACTTTATTCCTGAGCCCAGGTGCTCGAAGTCTGCAGTGGGGTTACAAACGAGAAGGAGAAAGATGGGGAGTACAAGAGGTCCGGTCAGCTCCGGTCGAAAGGGCCGAGAGCGACAGGAGCTCCGCTATGAGCTAAGTGTTTAAGCGTGTGCTTGGGGTTCGAACCCGGTGGTTCTGTGGTTGTGAGCTAGTGAACTTGATCGATGTTGGTTAACTAAAAAGGACTCAAAAGGCTCTCCTTCGTTGGAGGGAGCGTATCCCCTTTTATAGATAAAATGGATGGCTTTACAAGTGAGAGGGTGAGGGTACGTATGCTACTGGGCTCTGTTGCCTATGCCGGCGGGTACAAGATAATGGTAGGCGCCTACAACACTGTTGATGTCACTGTAGAATGTCAGATGCATGTGGGAGGCTGCGCTGCCTTCTTCAGAAATGGCAGACGTCGGTATCTACAAATGCGGTTGATGCCTAGAGGCATGTGAGGAGTCTCACCACGTTCACCTGGTATGGTAAATCCCGGCGTCGACAACAATATCGATGCCCAGAGGCATGTGGGGGGCCTTACCGTATGGGAGTTAACGGCGCCTACAATACTGTAGAGGGAAATGTCGGCGCCTACAATACTGTTTGTGTCAGGGCGGTTGCAGAGTACTGTTCATGCAGGTGTACAGGGTATGGTCCCTAGTATCATGGTTTGACTTGTGTGCCCTGGCCTGCTTTCTCCGTTCGTCCCCTGGTTCCTTCCGAGCGAGCGTCCCCGGTCGGATGGCCCCAGTCGACCCTGGTCGCACCAGTCGGAGAAGAGCGGTGAGCAGGGTTTCTACGAACCCGGGTCGGAGACGTGGGGTTAGAGTCGAAAATAGCGCTTCGGGCCAGGCCTTCCGATCGGAGAGGCCACCCGGAGGCGGCTAGAGTCCGTAGCGAGCGCTCCGGTCAAAGAGGTGGGCTGAAGTAGTCGACGAGCGGGAGCTGTTCCTCTTCGACCAGACCTTCTGGTCGGTGACTGGACTGCCCTTTCGGCCTGTTGTTTTTAGACCCTTGGGCCGGCCCATGAGTTATGTGCTGTCTGCTTGGGCCGAGCCTTGGCGTGGAAGCCGGTCCCCGAGGGACCCCGGGTTTATGAACCCGACACTAGCGTCGGCTTCTACGAGATTGGGGCACCAGATCTCGGGTGTGGCTTCGTTGTCCTACAATTTCTTACAGACGGATAAATATGGGTAAGGACTTTGCTCGGTTCCCTTTGGTTTTGGTTGTTTACCTCTATAGTTCTCTCTTGAACTAATATACGGAGTGGAGCAGATTGTAGAGTTGACACTCATAGTGCAAAGGATGCTTTCAGCACAGTGTTTTTAGTTGCATTTGTGTTTTAGGACCCTGAAGGAATTATACAGACTCCACAGTCCTATGTCGAGTTCATATTAATCACCAGAACATAGTGTTCATATAAAAATTGGACCGAACCAATTTTGAGCATGAACACAAACTAAAAACGTGATTAATTATTGTTTAGAAATCTTTAAATATGATCTTTTAAATCGTCTACTACAAATATCTAATTTTACTGTAGTCCACATTTTGTTGCCACCATTTGGTTGTCCTCTAGCTTATCATGTTATTGTATTCTATCTAGATGTGCTGGTGTGGACATGGCAACCCTGCCATCTGAGCTTGCGCCAGAAGAATTGAGTGGTCAAGAAGTAGATCAACAAAGGAGTAAGCATACAACTTCAAGGAGTGTGAACGTGAAGAAGTCATTGCTAGTGAAACAGAAGTCATCTGCTGTTAATGCTCCAAAGCCTCCAATAGAGAAGCGGAGGAAGTCATATGCTTCGAACGTGCAATTTGTGAGGTCCCCGCTACTTAATAGGATCCTAGCATCGCCAAGGATGCGCCACTCCAAAGCCAAACACCAGAGGTCACCATATGCAGGATTGTCATCTTCAACCTTACCTGATGATACAAGAATGGCTGCTTCTCCTAATCTTGGCAAAGATGCAGCATCAAGGAGCATGGATAGGATCAAGTCCTTGCTGTCGAAACGGAAGTCATCTATTGTTAATGCTTCAAATTATTCAGAAGGAATGCAGAGGAAGTCATCTGCTTCATGTGTGTATTATGTGAGATCTCCGGTACTTAATAGAATGCTACAGTCACTAAGGATGAGCCAGTCTCCGGTACTATCTGCAAGATCATCATCTTCGTCTTCATTTGATGATACAAGAATGGTTATTTCTCCTAATCTTGGCCCAGGTTAGATTTAACTTCCTTCATATTGAAGCAACCAGTTTATGTCTCAAATTTTTCTTGCTGTCTTGACTTTGTTGATTTGTTCTGTCTTGGTTAGGGTCCTGTTTCTACTGTCCTAGTCCTTTAGATGAATTTTCTTGCTGCATGAGATGCCTTTAGTTACTCACTATGTATACTTTAGTAAATGCTTATACTAATCAATATTTACATACTTATTGTATAGATGCATCAAGACCAATTAAGAGACGTAAACTTAGATCTGATGTGTGGAAAGAATTTAAGCCTATTTATGAGGGGAATCTAGTAGTACAAGCTAAATGTATTCATTGTTTGGAGCTCTTGTTTGCTACTCGAGATAATGGTAGAAGTGCTTGTCGTAGGCATTTGAAAGTGTGCAAAGAAAGGACTAGAATGAACCAGTTGGTTGAAAGCATGAACACAGGACTATCCCCTGATTCACTAGCTCTGAAGAATTGGAAGTTTGACCAAGAGGTCTCACGTAAATCCATGGTCAACTTTATCATATTGCAGGTGCTGCCCTTTAGTTTAGTTGACCATGCACCGTTTTAGAAATTTATTGCTACCTTAAATCCTTGGTTTACCATAGTGTCTAGAGCTACAGTTGCTGAGGATATTATGAGCTCATATGAGGATCAAAGGTTAGCCCTTTGGGAAACTATAAAAAATTCAAATTCAAGGGTCTGTCTAACTACTGATCTATGGACTTCAAATCAGAACCTATGTTACTTGTGCATTACTTGCCACTTCATTAATAATGACTGGATGTTGTAGAAGAGAATAATAGGTTTTGGTCTTGTAGCTTTGCCCCATGATGGTTTTACTTTGTTTAATGCATTGTTGAAGTGTTTGCAAGAATGGAAGTTTGAGCACAAGGTATTTAGCATCACATTAGATAATGCAAAGAACAACAACAACATGGTTGGTTCCTTAAGGAAAAATCTTTCCGAAAGACACCTTATGCTTGGAAATGGTGATCTGCTACATATGCGTTGTGTAGCGCATGTGTTGAACCTTATTGTCAAGGAGGGATTTAAGGTGATAGATGGTGCTACTAACCGTATTCGAGATAGTGTCAAGTACATTAGAAGCTCACAAGCCCATAAATAGCGTTTCGAGGAAATCATTGTACAATTAGGTATATCCTGTGAGAAGAGACCGTCTCTTGATGTTCCAACTCGGTGGAACTCAACTTATTTAATGCTAAAGTCTGCAATAGAGTATAGGGCAGTCTTTGATGTTATGGAGTCACAAGATCCTAATTACATGGACAAGCCTTCTAATACAGATTAGAACATGGTAGACCTACTTTGCAATGTGTTCAAACCCTTCTGTGATGCTACAAATGTAGTTTCTGGTACATTATACCCAACAGCAAACCACTGTTTCCATGTCCTATGGGAAGTCAAAGGAAAAATAGAAACTTTGGAATCAAATACAGATATTTCCATTGCAGTTATGGCGACCAAAATGAAACTGAAGTTTCAGAAATACTGGGACATATGCTTGTTGCAGATATGTGTTCCAATAGTTCTAGATCCTAGGTTTAAGCTCAGTTTCGTATCATTTCATTTGGACGCTGGTTTTGGTGATAAAGGTCCAGCATACACTGAAATGGCGAAGGCCACATTGCAAAATCTATTTTCTGCATATTCATCAATGGCACCTGATTTAAACTACTCACAACCAGAGCCCAATGATATTGGCGATGGCGATGACATTTGAGGAAAGGAGGTGTCAGGTTGAGCAAAGAAGGGTGGCAAAGAAGGGGTGCAAGACAGGGAGAACTGGAGAAGGAAATGACATTTTTTTGTCTTTGTAGATATAGAACTCCTTTCAGTTTAGCATTTCAACTTTATTTATGTTACTGTCTTTTGGAATTCTTAAATATTTGGTCCTGAATTATTGCAGTGGGAGCATGGCTCCTTTTCTAGATCTTGTTCTTGTAATCATAAGTTTAGCAGGACTTTGGTTAGTGATGTGGATGTAGAAGCTACATCTATGGAACACTGCTATTATTGGATTTTGGTTCAAGTGATGTATCTGGCTTGGAGGTAGTGTGCAGTATGCACTTTTCTTATGCAGTAACTACATCTTGTTAGAAGTGATAGAACCTCTAGGTGCAGATCTAGTGGGTAAAACTCAACTTAGATAAAGGACTTGTTAATGTACCTCATCGAGAGCCCAGTCATGGCCATGGCGTCGCCGATGAGGTAGCAGCGACGTGGAGGCGTGGTCCAGTGGTGGCGGCGAAGGCAATGACGCTTCCCATCGTTTACAGCGCGCCCTTCTAGATCGGACTAAGGCTAGGACATGGTGGGGCGCTAGCGGCTGCGGTGAACCTCGTATCTCGAGCCCCAGCCCCCACCTCCTATTTATTGCGCTGCGCGACAGGGGCCCATCAGCCAGTAGAAAGGCTGAGCGCCCCCGATCAGGGCGCAGATCAAGGGCCCAGGGCCAATTGGTGGAGATCAACCTAATAATTTCCCTCTTGATCTCACCTTATGACTTAAACTTAACTTCCTTTTTCTTTTTCTCAATCCATCACAGATCGGTGCATAGAGCGTGCCTCATCGTCACGGTTAGTTGCCATTAGATTTAATAGCTACAATGCACCTCTCTGTTTTGAAACAGATACTCAACTAGGCTCTTAGTATCCAGAAATCATAGGCTTTCCCATAAACTCATATCGAATGTGTGTTCTCTGAACACACTAGGTGGTAAGCCTTTGGTAAGCGGATCCATAAGTACTTACTCGGTACTTATGTGCTCAATGCTTTCAAATGATTCTGGATTTTCTCCTTTACAACATATAACTTAGTATCAATATGTTTGGCAGCACACTTAACCTGTTGTCTTAGGAGTTAACTTACTTTAAATGGTTATTGCTGTTGTCTACCATTGTTAAATCCAGGTACTGATTCCCTTAACCTCCTTTTCCCTGTTCCTTAAGCCTCATGTCAAGCTATACTATGGTATGCATCACTAATGACACCACAACTGTTTTTTGGAACTTTTCCACAATAATACTCCAACTACGAGTGTTTACGACTACTGTGGATTTTACTACACATCTCGCCAAGACATAACATTTGTACCCTCAACTATTTGAGAGTACTTGTTCTTTCTTACTCAGCATGAGACCTATGATACTTTGCAAAATTGCAAGACATTCTCAACTCCATTCCAGTGATCTATATCTGGACTAGACTTCTGCCAAAATATCCCAGATACGTAAACTATGTCATGGTAAGTTCTTACTTGTACTTGTACACTCATCAAGCTTCCAACAGCTGAAGCATATAGAACCATGTTTATTTGATCGATCTCATATCGGTTCCTAGAACACTTAAAGTTCCCAAATCTATTACCCTTAACTATAGGAGCAAGCGTAGGTTTACTCGCATTCATACTTTATTTCTTTAGAATCTTTTCTAAGTATGCCTTTACGATAGTCCTAATACCCTATTTTCTTCTATCTTGGTGAATTTCAATTTCTAGAACCAATAACGCTTCACTAAGATCATTCACATTGAAACTTGAGGACAAAGACTTCTTCTCCAATGGCAGCTTAACATTACTACTAGTGAGTAGGTGTCGGCACGAAAATGTGTCAACACATAGCAAGCCGGAAGGGTCTGCTCGATGGAGCTGGAGATCTGCCTGGCTTCAACGCAGGGATAATCGATCCTGCGTATTCCTCTCGAGATGTGCCAGTCAATTTGACCCTGCAATTGACACGGAGAGAAAGTTTATCAGTAATTTAAGGTGGAACATGCTGGTCTGTGCCCAGACAGTTCCAAGTGTGCCGCTTCGGGAGCAGCCATACGGGAAGAACGATTAAATAGCCGATACACACAGAAATCGGCTGTTACGGACTGTAAAGCTCGTGGGTAGCGATTGATTTTATGTTGATAGGTACAGTACATGTATATGTAAATGAGATCATTAACTAGGTGGATATTACCAGTATGAATCATTGAGCCGATGAATCTAACGATAAAAGATATAGCATGCAAGCAAATCGACTGTCTAATACAAATAGACCTACAAACGCTTTGAATCTAATCTGTTACCACCAATAGTGAGGTTCGATCGGATCGATGGCAGCTATGATGATAGTAACAAACTAAAACCGAAGAATTCATAAAACTATCCATACTTCGATAGGCTTTCCGAAAGACATACTATTCGTGAAGGCTCGAATGAATCGGCTGAAATAGCCGATTCAGGTGAAAAGGGACTACAGCGTGTGCCAATCGACTGTTTCACATGGACAAACCTATGGACTCATCAGACCTAACTTGCTATCTCTAACAGTGGGGTTCGACCGGATCGATGCAGCCATGAAAAAGACAATAAATCAAACCTTTAAAGTAAACAGATATATTCACATTTAACAGAATCATGTAAACATGCTATAGGCGTTAACGCACAAGCGATCGGCTATTTAGCCGATGCAGGCATAGCAAACAGTTAAGGTCATGCCTAATCAAGAACAGATCTACTAACTAGCATCCTCCAATCTACAGTGTTATCAGTGGGGATCGACCGGATCGTTACAGCCATAATAGTGAACCGTAGACCATATTTAACTAACCAGCAAACTTCTCCAAGATCATACGTGCCTTAACCGCGTACTATGCGTGACCAAGATTGAAATAGAACAGCCGATAAGACATAACCCGTCGTTCATTGTAAGAAGTATCGTGTTGTGACAAAGTAAACGATGGACCCAAAGGATATGAAGCCGATCTAAATCGATCTCGACCGGGCAGGTTGATGTTGCTGCAAACTAATGATGATAAGAACATCAGCAAGATCGGTAACTTAATGAATCTACCAAAGATTGCCACTCTTAGGTATAGCCGATAACTTGACCTTAATCTAATTCGAGCAGTGGAGGTCGACCAGATCGATGCAGCCGTACTTGAACTAGACAAGAGTCGATAACTAGCTTATACCAGAGTTGCAGTGGAGGTCGACTGGATCGATGCAGCCATACGAACAGAAGTATAAGCCATGACGGTACTTATAGACAAGCCGGAGGTCGGCCGGACCGATACTGCCCTGCTCGCTAAAGAACTCACCGAGATCTACTCTACTCCTACTCCTAAGGGGTGGCCGAAGCCAAAAAAAGTAAGTAACTTGTATTTGATTGATTGTGTGTCATTTACAATAGCCGGGGTCTAATATTTATACCCGGAGCCTAAGCATAAATCATACTTGAATACGACTCATTACAATCTTTGGTATATAAGAAAACATTCCCAACTTAAGATAACTTGAACCCTAATCTTTCCCTTTTTGTAAAGTCCGATATGTAGTTTCCTGACGCCAACCATAGCTCATCATCGTTATCTGTTGGCATCATCCAAAGAGAGCCGATTCCAGTGTCGCATCTGAATCAGCTGATACCGATCCTCATGTAATCGATTCCTTGATTTACACAATCTTGGAAGTCTTCGAGTTCCCTCGTTCTTCTCCTAAATTTTGGTGTAAACAGTAGGATGTCATCTATACATAGGATGTGGAAAAAGAATTTTCCATTCTAGAACTTCGCATAAATGCTATTGTTCTTCTCATTTTATTTAAACCCAAACTATCTTATCGTTTCATCAACTTCAAATACTACTGTCTAGAGACTTGTTTTAACCCATAAATGGATTTTTACAGACGGCGTCACATACGTTCTTTTTCTTCCATGACAAAACCTTTGGGTTATACCATGTAAACGTTTTCATATAAATCTCCGTTGAGGAATGCCGTCTTTACATCCATCTGATGTAACTCTAAATCATAATGTGCTAATAACACCATTATAATTTTAAAAGAATCATTGCATGAGACTGGAGAGAAAACTCTCATCGTAATCTATTCATTCTCTTTGCGTAAAGCCTTTTGCTACAAGTCATGCTTTATATCTTTCCACATTCCCTTTAGAGTCACATTTTGTCTTGTAGACCCTTTCATAGCCTATTATTTTGGCTCCATTAGGCATTTCTTCTAAGTCCCAAACATCGTTGGTATTCATCGAATTCATTTCAACTTCCATAGCGTCTTGCCATTCAAACGAGTAAACGCTTCTCATGGCTTCTTCAAATGAGGTGTGATCACCCTCCATTTGAATTTCTTCACTAACATAGACTTCATAGTCATCAAAAAATTAGTTTACTAATTCTTTGAGACCTTGTGGGGCCTCAGCTACTAGCACTTTCATGTGGGGCTATTGTTACTCTTCATTGCCAAGAGGCAATTGATTCTACAGGCTCCTGTATCACAAGATCCTTGTTTACATTATTCATCTTCTTCGAAGAGCCAACAACAAGTATTGTATAAGTCATACAACATCAACAGGTATCGAGAAATTCATTGTTTTGAATCACTGAAGTGGACACACAGTCCCGCTTCTCTTCAAGTCATAGGTCTCTTCATACCTCTACATACCAAGCTCCCCTAGATCTTCTCATCTTTTCTAAAGATAGTGCATCTTCAAATATCTTATTTTGGGTTTAATCTGTTAAAACCTCATATGGTGCTTTAAGCACCACCTCAATATCTTTGAGGCTGACTACGCTATCTTCCTATCGGAACTTTAAAAGGTCCAGGAATTTAGCTATTTCTCTGCTTAGGGGTATCATTGTTGTGATCGTTGTACTCCTCCAACGGTCGCATTCATCTTAATTAATCTTTATCTCACTCTTTCCTTATTTCACTTCAAGAAC